TTGACGTATAAATAATGTTCATGTGGGTTTTCATTATAAGCATATTATGCATTAAAACAGATATTTTAAAATTATTAAATGTATTTCTCGACCAGTTGCTGCCACCTTCTTTCTGATTAATCTTTCGGTTTATTATTAATCTTGGTCACCTCCAGCGCGCAACAATCTCATCCAATTCGGTATTGAACCAACTTCACGTTAATTCTAGTGGGGGAGTAGTGTAGTCGCATCGGGCCCTAACCACACAATCGTTAAAGCTGAACACGGGGAAAGAGTTGTACAACATTTAACGCGGAGAATGACCCACCGATGAAGAAGGCGGGAACAATGAATTCAATTAATTAGAATTGGTCGGATGTATAATCAATCTGCTAACCACAGTGGACAGACGGACAACCATCCTTGATCGCAAGGGGAAGGTTGACGTCATTTACCTTGACTTCCCAAAAGCTTCTGATAGGGTCAACCGTATTTATCTTATCAATAAGCTCAAACGATTAGGTATCGAATCACCTCTAATTGATTGACTCACTTCATGTCTAAAAAATTGACATTTAAGGTCAGGGTTAACTTCACTTCCTCTCAGACTAGTAGGGTTCCCCTGGGTTCAGTACTAAAACCTCTTCTTTTCTTGATTTATATAAATAATTTTCCACATCAGATATCGTCTGACTTATTACTTTTTGCTGATGATGTGAAACTTTGGACAGATACGCAACTAAGAGGATACACTGGCACTTTAGGAAAATCTGACTCGACTTCAAAGTTGGGTAGATGACAACGGACTCACATCTAACACTTCAAAATGTAAAGTAATCCATTTGAGACATGTCACAGACTATAGTCACAACTTAGGCGACTCGTCTCTAGAAGTATCCCAGGTTGAAAAAGATTTGGGAGTTCTGGTACCCTACGACTTGAAGTCTTACGCTAACTGCGAAAAGAATGCCTGTCGAGCAAACCTTGCACTGTTAACATTGAAGCGCATTTTCGGCCAGTTTGACGGAGAAGCTTTCCACATATTCTTTAACAGTTTTATTCGTTCCCATTTAGAGTATTCCGTACTGTAAATAGGGACGAATAAAACTGCTAAAAAAATATGTGGAAAGCTCCTCCGTCGACTTAGAATACACAGATGATATAGTCCTGTTTGGTGAAGACGCAGATAAAATACAGTCTCTTGGTAGAACTGAGCAACAATCCCAGTATGTTTGGGATGTGCTTTTCTCCCTCTAAATGCAAGTTGTGACTTCAGAACTGGTTTGCGTCAACACCTGAACTAAGGATAGAGAGTGAAGCAGTCGAACGCATTGATAACATCAATTATCTTGGAAGTCCGGTCAGCCGTAATAGGTTGGTGTCTGACGAAATCTCAGCAAGGATTCGAAAAGCTCGTTTGGCTTTCGTCAACTTACGTCACCTACGACGAAGGCGAGATATTCGTCTATCAATTAATGGACAAGTATACTTCGCGACAGTTTGTTCTGTTCTACTTTACGATTGCGAAACGATTACCGTCTTTTATTAATGTGTCCATATACTAAAAACTAACTTCAGACAAGAATTTTCAGATATCGAGTATGTACATTTGTTCTATTTTCAATGACTAGTACTGTTGTTTACTATTCTTGTTTCTTTAAAACATACAGACAGGAGGAATTGTGTGAAAACACAACTATTTATATGGAGCTTTTCTAAATATCTAAGGTTACAAGGCGAAAAGGATTGAAGCCTTTACGTTCATAGAATAAATCATCCGGTAATACCCTTTAGCAGTACAAATAGAAATTTTCATCCAATCTACCGATAGTCAGTCATCGACTTTTAATTTCTTCATTTTCTATGAAAAGTTTGCAAAAAAATGTCCACTGTGTAAGCTTAGGAATTCTCATTTTTTATGTTAATAACCGTGATTGATCATGTGCTATTAGCACACATGCATCATGATTTAGTATATTTGGATTAATGGCTACGGAATCTAAGACTAGATGTACGTGTATACAAGTGTTAATATTCACATTAAAACTTGGACCCAATAATTAAAGTACTGCGTCCAGATGTCCACAAACTTGTTCAACAGGTTTGCCAAACACAATTCAAATATGATAAAACTTGTAAATGCAGGCAATTTGCACATATCCCAATAACGACTGACCAATTGTATCTCTTAATATCAACGAGAAAATTAGAACCCCTAGTGAATTACGTCTTGGTATTTGGAAAATTAAGTAACGCATCTAGGTTTAACTGTGAACATCAGTACTTGGATACAAGTACAGCCAGTTCCAAATTAGGTGAAGCAAGTTTTGGAGAGACAGAGAAACACAGTCGAAATATACTATGATTACTCTTTTATGATATCCTCAATATCTGAATAACTGGCCATAGTTCATAAACGCGTAATTTTGATGTACTCAACAATACAATTAGATGTGATCAACAAAGTGTAATTTGATGTCATATGAAACATTCACTAATCAATCGGTATTTAATTAGTTGAGATGTTTTGTAATAAAAAAAAATAAAGTTCATCATTAATCATTGCACTGAATAAAAAACTATTTATCATATGACAACACAATCATAGGACTAACAATCAATTGATAACAGTTCACTCAACAATCGACGGATATGTCATCAGTTATACGATTGAGTTGATAAGATTTAATTATTTTTATTATTCATCTTTTAGCTAACTACTAAACTCTCAATTTTAAAGATTTGGATAAGCTAAATACACATATATTATAAGATAATATGTAAAATATAGTATCAATCAGCAAAGCGTAACAAAATTACCTTCGTTGAAATATTTTATGCCTACAGTATCTCACGTTAATTTAACTGATATCTAAATAAATCAGTAGATTAAATAACAACTTAACACGTGCATCATGGCAAACCTATCACATTAATTTTTGCTATTTTTCTGTGGTTGTAGACGACTAGAATTACTCTGTAATAGCACTGGAAATGACTTTCTGCGTAATATTATTACACCAATAAAATGTTATGAACTCCCTCATAAGAACTTATGGTTTCCAACTGTTGCCTTTCATTGTTGTAATCCTCTTAAGACAACTAATTGATCAAAACATTCCAAAGAATTCGACCCAATATTTCTGCCTACTACCTGTAATACTGTTTTTTTTTTGTATCAACTTGATAATGTACGTAAGTTGATATGCACTCAATAATTATATGGGGAATATATAAATTTCTATTTTGTATAGAATCATTTCTTTTTAAATTTGCACTCTAGAAACGCATAAAATCATTCATCACAACTGAAAACATATAATAAAGCCAAGAAATCCTCTAGTAGCATGTTAATACACATAATTTATGTAGAATTGGTGGTTTATTGATGAAACCAATCGGATTTCAACTAGTATATTGTTTGTTCGAATCCCATCCTATGTACTTCGAATTAAGTAACCAGATAGTACTCGGTGATTCAGTTATTATTATTTAAAGAAACACTTGATTTCCTACCATATCACATCATAAATTTGGATGCGATTCCAACGATTTCTCATGCAGGTAGCCAAATAGCAAAACATTTTCTTTACACATAAAATATAGTTCAAAATTAAATTAGGTTATAAACATATTTACATGGTAAATCACTTATAATATCAACATTGAGATTATCAAAAGTGCTGATTACCTAATTCCATTTAAATACCTAAATAATTAATTCACTTAGCAAGGGGATATAAGTAGTAGTAGTTTTAATCAATTTATTTAATTATGATAAAACGTATTAAACAAATGAGAAACATGAAAAAATTCCTTTCAATTAAAAAAAAGACAAGATGAGAAACAATGAAATATTGTCTAATCATTGTTTTTTCTTAGAAAAAATTTTTTCATCTTGTACAACTATTACTAGATAGAATGCAATAAACAATTGTATTCTGTATAAATACTGATGGTATCTTGAAAAAAAATCACTCAATGTGCAGAGTTTGTTTCTTCCCTACAAATAAGTTAGTTCAAATTTATTTATTTGTTTGCTTTTTTTTGTTGATGAAACTCCTACACCTTCCCGAAAAGAACTTACATACAGAGAGAAATTTACACAGAAAAATTTAATGAAAACTAATAGTGTTACTTTAAAGACCTTTTTAATTCAAACAATATGGAAATATAAAGATGACTTCTTATATTGGTTAAAAACAAAAAAAAACAACAGCAGAATTAATTATTTGTAATTTTAGAAAAGTGAAGCAAGTAGAAAATAAGAAAAAAATTGACAACGGTAAGAATATAAAGATAAGCCAAAAAGAGGAATTCAGATGATAAACATATACATAGACCTATGCAGTGAAACGAAGAACAGTATGAAATCAAATTATGAATGGTACACACAAACAAGCAAAGAAGAAGATTGAACAATAAATACATTAAAGGAAATCAAATACACACACACATCTACTATTAATCACTTACATGTTGTGTACATGAAGTCTATCAAATATATACTAACAATAGCGACAATATAAGTAGGAAAAATGAATTTGAAAATCAACAAAACACCAAGCTAAAAATTCCTAAACACAGATAAAAATGAAGGTAATACTAAATGGTTTTGTTAACATGTGTGAGAAAATAAATCCAACAATAAATAGACACTATATTTTGTTTTAATAAAAGGAAGAATGGAATTTGAATAGATTAACATGAAATATGATATACAGATCGTTTTTTGGTGGTATTTACTAATAACAATTATGGATCAGAGAGAATATCAGGAAAAGAGGAAAGAAACTGATGATCAAATATCAATACATGATCATGATGATTAACACAAAAGCAATCAATTAATGCATAGTATTAATGGGGAATGAATCTTTATTAATTTTTTTGTTTTTAAAGGTGTGCAAAAAAAACAAGAGCAATTTTATTCTGTATGCGTAGTAATTATTGTGTAAAGGAATTGAAGGATTGTTATGATTTATGAACCCACAACGACTATTGTGATTACCAACACTATACTACTCGTAGGCATCATATGGATAAACAGATAATTGTTGATAACGTGAGTGGGAATTCCGTGCGCTAGATCCATTGGATTGACTTTTTACTACAATAAAATGAAATTTCAATTTGGAAAAAGGAATAAATAGGAAAAAATAATCAGCATTTTGTTTTTGAAAAATTAAAAATATTATTATGATTAATAATTGCATTAAATTAAACAAATAAAACACTTTACTTTTGGTTTGAACTTGTTCATGGAAAACCTTTATGATTCCAAGAACTATTGATTTCACAAGAAACTCTAATCTGGTGTATCTAATGGTTGATACTAGTCATTTCATGGACTCAAAGTTATTCAAAAAGTCTCGTCGAACATATTCAGAAATCATCTCTTACACAAACCAGACGTCAATTAGAATATACAAAAATAAACTTAGTTTTATTGTACATAAAAAATTGTATGCAGCCCTTTTATGTATCCCAGTCTTTCACTTAATTACGACTTATAAAATTTGTTTAATATTATTTTCTAACTTTATTTTTATGTACTGTGTTTTGTTAATCTGATTAACGAATCTTTTGGGACCCATTTTCAATTATTTCTATACGTTTCAATAAATAAATATGTTCGTTTAAATTGCAACTTACCCGATTTCTATTCTTATTCTTACGTAATTAGTCGCAATAATTAATCGACTATGTAATCGAGATTTAGTTTTAATTTCCAGTTTATTGAGCTACTAAATTTACATTGAAATGTAGAGTTAAGTTGGTCAACCAAAATTTATACTTAAATACAAATGCATATATTAGCGTAGAATTATGAGGAATCAAATGAAAAGAAATATATCTTCATTCAAGTTGTATTTTAATTTCATAGCTACCAGTGACATATATTATGTAATTAATATTATATGGAAATAATGATAATACATTTTAAGCATTTAATCGTATAAAACATGTGTTGTTGTGGATTTGACTATGTTTTAGTGGATGTGAAGATTATAAATACTTGGTATTCATATAAATCAAGAAAATTAAGTTATAGATGACATCACATGAACATGATGTTTTAGTGAATATAACTATCTGCAAGGATGTAAAATTAACTTGGTTAAATTATCAAAATTTTTCATTACTATCAGGTTAAAAAAGACATTACGTAACAAAAAGTAGGTAAGCACCCACAAATTTCCTCAAAGTAATATTGATCTACATAATTATTAGGAAAAGACAAAAACTAAAGCATTTTAGTGCATTGTGTAGTAAAAACATACGGACAAAGTAAGAATCAAAGAACTCTGAAAGAAATTTTAACAAAATCATTGAGATATACAAAACTAGACAACTACTAGTGAGGAATAAAAGTAAAATAACACTGATTTGGTTGATGATACGTTTATCAAAAGTTAAACGGTCATCAATATTTAACACAAGATTCGACTACATGATTAGCAAACCTAGTAATTAAAATTGTTAATGTATCATGGGCTGTTTCTCTTCATTTTATTTTTTCAATCAGTCCAATGAGAATGGGTTTAAAACATTGTTCTTAGCATAACTAGTTTATATCTGAAAACTGTAAGAATATTTTTACCAATTCTATTATTTTTTAGGTAGTGAACATAAACACATCAAGTAATGAGTAAATCTGTAAGTGGAGAAGCCGTGCAAAACTAGTTAGTTAATTTTTATTATTAAAACAATGTAAAAAAACACAGAGTTGAAGGGTCTTCATTTAGAACAGTCATGACGCCTTATGCTGAAAGCAGATATCATTTGGAAGTAAGCAGGCGGATTCCGCTTTTTGACAAATACAGCAATAATTGGTGTAGGTAATGGAATGCCCGTACAATGTGGGAGATCAGGAGGATCATTCAAGTAACTACGGAAATGAGAAGACAAAACCTCTCTCTGATTACGGTAAGTAAAACCGCAGCCCTACTGAACCCACCGGACATCGAAGCAGCACACAAAGACCTTCATATAGATGGAACTCCACCAACAATCGAGGAAGTCATTAAGGATCGATCATGCACAGACCAAATCACGACATTACAGATCGTTGAATAATCAATGGAATAGAATTCGTCACTATACATAAACTTTCTTGATAATGAGAAAGCATTTGACAGTATGGAATCTTCGACCCTGGTGTACCTGAGAAGATCGTCAACATCAAATGTAATTCCTACGACGGACTACAGTGCAAGGTCGTGCACGTAGGGCAGCCCATAGATGCATTCCAAGTATAGACTGGTGTCAAACGAGGCTGCTTACTCTTGCTTTCTTTCCTCCTTCTGCTGGTCGATTGAATTATGAAGAACTCCACATCTCAAAGGAAACATGGAATACAATAGACAGCTTGGATACAACTACATAATTTTAAATTAAAAGATGACATAGACCTTCTATTTATTTTAACACATAGTGTTAAGGGTTGAAGTTATCACTAGTTCACTTGATCTGCGAACGAGATTCGATGACCAAGACCAATAAGCTAACTATTGACGCGTCCAAGCCCCGCTATCTAGAGTGAGAAGACCAAGCTTAGAATGGAAGTATATTCTGCAACAACCAGAAAACCAGAGATTTCAACAAAGACAATTTAAAACGTATATATACATCGATATTGCCATGGAGCTTTTAAACACCGAATCGATAGTTCGTCAATTGAATGCTATTGAAATATTTAAACATTTAATCGATAAATTTGTCAATCGACTATGTGCGTGGGTGGTAAGAAATGCCCAAGATAAAATTACAAACTATGAGTTTTTGGGGATCTATTGACCCCAACACTCCTCCCCTTTTTAGTAGCGCATTTTTCCGGGGTCGACTTGCATCCTGACCGTTGCTCGTCGCTGTCGGGGAGGCCACCTTCTGGAACGGAGATCAGCTTGTTGTTGAGCTTCTTCTCGTGATGATGGCTGCTGGTAAGTTGAAGGTGTTAAGCAGAGGCCAATAAGCAAAGCTTCTGGCGATGGATTTCATTCGTTTTATATCCGGATGACCAGTGTGGAGTTGCTTTAGCACCCTTGTTTTTAGGGACGCTGGCACCACTACTCTATCTCCAAACACCAAGCATTCATTTGAGACACATAATGAGTCCCGACGGTGGTAAAGCTGCTTCAAGTCACCATCGAGTCCAGCTGGCGACCAGCCATTGGTGACGTACTTCATTGCTCTCTTTATGATGGAGTCGTTCTTGGATGCAGAATGTATTTCAGCTGCTGTGACTGGCAAAGCACGAATAGCGGTTGTCAGGTAACATTGCGCGTGGTCCTCTGTCATTAGGGAGGCAATAACTGCATCTTCGTCAGCCGTATGGTGTTCGCTGATAAGTCGTGACAAGGCGTCAGCCTGACCAAACTGTTGCGTGCGCCGGGACTGAATGTAAAACTCATAACCCAAAAGTATCAAAGCCCATCGCTGGAGACGGTTTGCAGAATGAGCTGGAACGCCAGATTTCGAACCGAAAATTTTGAGAAGAGGCTTGTGAGCAGTGAGTAGAGTAAATCTTCGACCATACAAGAATTTTTGAAAACAGTGTACTGCAAACACAAGGGCGAGAGCCTCTTTCTCTATTTGACTGTATTTTCTTTCTACTGCAGTTAATGTGCAAGATGCATGCATAATAGCTTTCTCTGTTGCGTCGGGCAACTGATGTGAAATGACAGCACCGAGTCCAAAATCTGGAGCGTCTGCAGCGACAATGACAGGCATGTACGGATCGTAGTGTGTCAGTAATAGTTCAGAGCTTAGGATAGTTTTCAGCTTGCAAAATGCAGCTTCAAATTCTTTTGTCCAGTTCCAGCTGGTGTTCTTATTCAGAAGATGATTTAGCGGGGCGCGTATATTATGCATCGACAGAACAAAAGCTGAGTAGTAGCTAATTAATCCCAGGAATGATCGTAGCTCAGAGATATTAGTGGGAGACGGCATCAGTTTTATAGCTCGGATGTTTTCAGGATCTGGTCTGCGACCTGCAGCATCAAAGATGAATCCCAAGTATTTAACTGACTTCAAGAAAAGCTGGCATTTTTCCGGGCGTAATCGGAATCCATTATCGCTGACGCGTTGTAGTACAGCTGTCGTGCGTTTTCGAGGCTGTTCTAACGATGTGGCAACAATTAAGATATCATTGAGATAAGTTGCGACCCCCGGGATACCCGATAGAATGGTATCCATTAGTTGCTGAAAAATAGTTGCAACTGTTTTCACACCAAATGGTAGGCGATCGTACTGAAACAAGCCACGATGAGTATTTATGGTAACTAACTCTTTCGAATCTTCAGCCACTTCCACTTGTAGATAGGCATCAGTGAGATCCAGCTTTGCAAAGCACTTCCCACCACTTAACATCGTGAACAAATTTGCAGGGACTGGCAGTGGGTAATGATGCTGTTCGAGAGCTGCATTAAGACCTGTGGAGAAATCTGCGCATATTCGGTTTGTGCAATTAGCCTTCTTAATAACCACAATGGGTGCTGCCCAGGCAGAATAAGAAACAGGTGTAATAACTCTCTGTATTTGAAGGCGGTTAAGTTCTTCGTAAAATTCCGATAATGCTGCGTACGGCACTCGTCTTTTTGGACGGACGACAGGTTTAGCTCCAGGTTTCAACCGAAGTGTTGCTTTCATAGCAGTGCACTGACCTAATATAGGCCGGAAAACGGTCGAAAACTCCGTCATTAGTTCTTTTGAATATGCTTCAGGTTTATGAGGTTGTTTCACCAGATGACATATGGTACTTAACGGAACGTCAGCTAAATGTAACCGGTCAAACCAGTCTAACCCAAGTAAACTAAGATCAGCTGGTGTGATGTAACATACCCCTGTAAATGTTGAATCGTGAAAAGACACTTTACAATCTAGTTGTCCCAACAAACGTAGATAAATACCGCATGCAGTTTGAGGTTTCTGTGTTGCTGGCATCGTGCGTGGTCTTTCCATTCTGATCCAATATTTTCGTGAGAGAATTGTTACGTCAGATGCAGTGTCTATTTGCAATCTGAACGGGCGCCCATTAATATTAAGGGTAATAGATTTCCTCTCACATGGGGTTGGGTTTTGACAGTTTGTTATTAGACTCAACGAATT